TAGTCTTGGGGTTCGTTCTCATGGCACTGCACTCTCCATACTTGGTTGATTTAGGTAGCCATAAAAGTTCTGCCTAGCATTTGGGAGGAGCATTAGCTTTCTGTGAAATAGGTACATGTATCTTTGGAAAGTTTTGTGCTTCAGGCCATGATCTGTTACTGTCATTTACTTGGTGCCAGTGTCCTATATTGGCCTGTGGAACCTCCAAGCTGGTTTCTTCTGTGTTCTGTGAATGACTCATCATTCTCTGAGCAACTGTCTTATTTTTTGGCACAGGATGGTTAGGCTTATCTTGTCTTTGCCTTGCTCTAGCCCTAGAATTGGCTGTTTCCCAAGGAGCCCTAGTTCTTAACAGAAAGTAGTATTTAGAAATGAAGATTGGGGCCCTAGGTAGGCCCACTGCTGCCAGGGTGTGTGACTTCTGACAGTTTCTCTTTGGACAGAGTTGTGGATTGGACAGAGTTGTGGAATATAAACATCTGTGTGCATACACTCTCACAGTGTGTTGATTTTATCTGTGTTGATGAGGTCACATCAGTGCTTCCTAGTCTGATTGAGTACATAGTGTTTAATTCTGTGCCTTTTCAGATATTTAAAAAATAGGTTTATTGCAATAGTGTACATAGTACATACTGTACAGATGACCCATTCTTATGTATGTATGTATTTGATTTTTTGAGACAGCCTCATAGCCCAGACTGGCCTGGAACCTGCTGTGTAGCCCAAGCTGGCTTCGAACTTGCGATCCTCCTGCCTCCTGGTGTTGGGATTACAGGCCTGTACCACCTTTCCCTGTTCAATTCACCTTGAATTCACGATCCTCCTTTCTCAGTGTTCCACCTTCTAAGATTACAGGCATGTGCCACCATGTATGCTCACAGTTGATTTTTGAACATTGTCATTGTTCCAAAAAGAGGCCAGTTCTCCCCAGCCTCAGGCAAACCCCTGTTGTATTTTCTGTCTATAAATAGATCTGTTTGTACACTTCATGTAAGTGGAATCATACACATATGGTCCTTTGCGTCTGGCCTCTCTAACTCAGCAGAATGTTTCTAAGGTTCATCCACATTTTCTAGCGTGTATCCATGCTTTGTTTCTTTCTGTGGCTCCAAATATGGGTGTATGCATTTTATGTGTCCTGTCATCACTTGATGGAGATTTGGTCATTGTGAGTAATGCTGCCCCAAACACCCTTGTCCAAGTTTTTGTGTAGATAGGTGTTTTTTATTTCTTGCCAGTAAAATTTCTGATTCAAGTGGTTCTTACATGCTTAGTCTTTTGAGGGACTTCCAGACTTTTCCAAACTGGTTATAGTGTGTGCCTTTCTATTAGCAAGACATGAGAGTTACAGTTTTTCCACACTCTTGCCAATACATGTTGTTTTCCTTATTTAAAAAGTGTAGACATTCTACTATATAGCATCTCACTGTGATTTTGATTTGTATTTCCCATGGCTGATGATATTGAGCATCCTTTCATGTGCTTAATGTCTGTATATTTGCTTTGGCAAAATAATTGTAGATCCTTTGTCCATTTTAAAATTGGGTTACTTGCCTTTTAGTTATTGAGTTACAAGATTTCTTCATATATTGTGGATACAAATTCTTTATCAGAAATATGATTTGAAAATGTTTTCCCATTTTGTGGAATTTTTGCCTTTTTGATGGTAGCCTTGGAGGTATTAAAGTTTTTAATCTTGTTGAAGTCTAAGTTACTTTTTTCTTCTGTTGCTCATTCTTTTTGGTGTCTTATATATTGCCAAATTCAAAGCCATGACAATCGTTCTCTCACAGAAGTCTTATAGTTTAGCTCATATTTACATGTAGATGTCTGATCTGCATTTGCATGTGTGCTATAAGGAAGGAGTCCAGTCTCATTCTTTTGCATGTGGTTATCCAGTTTTCCCAGCATCATTTGTTGAAAATTATATTCCACTCCTATTGTTTTACCAGCCCTCATGTTTTCACATTTACATATTTACATAAAATACGTGTTATAGTTTTGTTTTCTCTTTTAAGGAAAATTTCAAAAATGTTTCAAATTCCTGTGGAAAATCTTGACAGTATCAGAAAGGTGCGGAAGAGGGTGAAAGGCATTCTTGTGGATATTGGACTTGACAGCTGCAAGGAGTTGCTGAAGGTAAGTAGATGTAATGACAGATCAAGTATTGGAGCTGCTAGTATTGGCCTTTGGAAGTAAGATGTAAAGACTTTGTGGAATTTCTTTTCTTTTCTTCTTCATGGTACTGGGGATTGAACCCAGGGTCTTGTCCATGCCAGCAGGTGTTCCGCCTTTGAGCTACACCCCCAGCCCTGTTTAAAAAAAACTTTTTTGGCAGTACTGTGTTTGAATTCAGGGCCTTGAATTTACTGGGCAGGCACTCTGCTGCTCGAGCTACACCCCTAACCCAGACATTAATTTTGAGGTAATTGTTTTTTCTCCTTCAGTACTGGGGTTTGAACTCAGGGCCTTGAGCTTGCTAGGCAGGCACTCTGCCACTTGAGCTACACCCCCAGCCCGGATTTAAAGTTGTTGAAGAATGGGTAAGATTCCTTGAAATGGGAATAGCTAATGCTTCAGATATCTGTGTAAAAGTATCTTCAGTACTTCAGTCTTTCTGACTAAGTGGGCTATCTAAGGTATTCAGATTTTGAAAGCTACTTTTAGAAGTTTGTTTTTAAAAGACAGGGTCTCACTATGTAACCCAGGCCAGCCTTAAACTCTTGATCCTCCTGTTTTAGCCTCCTGAGTGCTGGGATTATAGGTGTGGACCATCATTCCTGGCTTAGGAGGAAATTTTTATAGTTCTTAGTTATAAAAACTACTTGCTTTCGATATTTGAGGGTAGTGTGTTGAATTGTTTATTGTTTTAGCAAAAGACTATAATTTCCCAGTATTTGTTAGAGTGATCAACGAATAGGCATGCACATCATACAATAGGATTTCTTTTTCTTGTCTGTTTTTGTCCTCATTCATGAATTTATATATGTACAGTCTTATGAAAGTTTGAAAATTAAGGTCAGAGTCACATACTTCATTGCTTTCCTGTAATTTTATCCTTCTAACATTGAGTTTGTGGTTGGCATATGTAGTTTAAAAAATGTTAAAAAAAAATAAGGTTACTGTCTATCCATTACAGTCGTTGATAATACTGTATATGTTTTGTTCATAGCTATAAAAATAATATTACAACTTGTAAAGAATTTTATTCAGAGTACTACAGCCTAGGAAGAGCCCAGTTTTTAATATTTGGATTACAGATTTTGAATCAGATTTTACTTATAAATGGCAATCTGGTACTGAGTGACAATGATCAGAGTTAATTTTGCTTTCAGGTAGATAAATAATTTCTGTATGGTCCTGATCTCTGTTCAGATGTTCCCTTCTCAGAGAGCTCTTCACCCTAACTTGCTGTCCTCTCTTATACCCTCCTGTTTTCTTCACAGCACTTGTTCTACCTGAGATTATTTGTTGGTCATCTGCTCATCTGTCCCCTGTTCCATCCCCCAATGTAAGAAGGACTTCATCGTCCTATTATCCATTGTTCTACCTACAATCAGAAGTAGAGTCTGTCACATGAATGCTTCACATATATTGTTGGAATGAATGAATAAAAGCAGAACACAACTAGAGAAATATTTAAAATAACCGTGTCACTGAAAAGTTCTCTTGGAAGTATAAGGATAGGAGAGATGCTCAGAGTGGAAGTGTCTAGGTAGAGTGTGTTGCTCAGGAAATAATCGTGAATGAGAAAACTTGTGGACTTCTTTGCAGCTTTGCCTATAAGTCATGTTTTAGGCATGTACAGGGAAAGCAGGGTGATGTAGATGTGAGAACCCAAGAACACAGACCAGGCTGAGGGAATTCAGCTTTTAAAAATGTTGTGTTTGGAGATAATTCAAGCTTAAAAGAATAAAAACAGTGCAGAGGACACTCATTAACCCTTGCCCATATTCACAGTTGTGAGCCTGCAATCCCATTTCCTGCAGCATTCCTCTGGCTGTGTGCTCTCTGTGTGGACAGAATTGTCCCTGAGCCTAAATACCTGTGTTTCACACTCAGTTTGTGATGTTTCTACAGGACATTACCAGCTTAGGTGAATGCAGCACCTATAGGATAATCTAATCACACCCATCATTGTTCCCCTTCAGTAATAGATCCAGTACTACATTTGGTTGATAAGTCTCTTTAGTCTCCATTTAGTGTGAATTGAATTCCTAGTAGTAGAATTCTGTTATATGATTTTTTTTTTTTTTTCCGAGACAGGGTCTCACTCTGTAACCCAGGCTGGCCACAAGTTTGTTATCTTCCAGCTTGCCTCAGCTTCCTGAGTTTTGGGATTAGAGACGTGTGCCACTGGATGGCTTGGTTTGGTTCATCTTTAGTCAAAATGTCAGTAACAACTGAAATTTTTCATCCTTGAGCCTTAGGCTTTTGTTTTTATTTTTGAGATGGGGTCTTTATGTAGCCAGGCTGACCTCAAACTTGGTGATCCTTCTGCTTCAGCCTCCTGAGTGCTGGGAGGACGGGTCTGTCCTGGCCTAGTCCTTAGTTTTTGAGTTGAGTTGAACATATATATGGTCAGCCTGAGAATGTTCACTCGTGTGAAAATGCTCAGGACTGTTTACTGACTGAGATGGATGTATGTTACGGGAGAAAATTGGGAGATTTCAGTGCCTTTAAAGCTATTAAGTTAGTGAGATTAACTGTTGGTTGGGGGGAGTTTTTATTTTTACTAAATAAAATAGTTGTACCTTGCATTTTATTTTTGAAAATGCAAGCAATGTAAAAATTCCTTACAGGAAAATTAGAAAATACACACAAAGATGAAAATAAGACACATTAAAAAAAAAGACTCACTTATAAACCATTACCTCCAAATATCCATTATTAGCCAGGTGGTACATCCCTGTAATCCCTGCACTTAGCGGGCTAAGGCAGAAAGATCACAAATGAATGCCATTCTGGGCTACCTAGTGATACCCTATCTCAAAAAACAGAAGCAAAAACAAGACAAATGTAGGAGAAAACAGTATTGGGTTGCCAAAAACCACAAATGTCATAAACTCAGAAGTGAGAGAGATGAGTGTGTGATGAGAGAGATTTCTGTGTGTGTGTGTGTGTGTGTGGTCGAGAGTGGGAGTGTCTGTCTGTGTAGGTGGTGGACCCTTGGGGATCAACAACTTATTAGGGAATTAGTATTGTTTCTGTGGTGGTTACAGAATATGTGAGCAAGTGAAACATTTGAGGATTGCATAAATAGTTTGTTCAATTACTGTTATATTTCAAATGTTAATAGATACTGGTGTGATATGTGATAATCCAGTTTTATTAAAAAATATTGCTATTCTTAGCAGTTTTTATCATCTTGAAAAGGTTCTTTGTTAATAGTTGCTAGAGAAACAAGCTATCATATGGAGGCCAGGAGAAATCTTGTTATAGTTTCAAGTATCCAAGCCTTACTGAGGGAGGATGAGTTAAGGGAATTCAAGTGACTACCTGGTAGAAGTATGGATCTACTGTCGTTTCTGCCTTTGTATCACCTGGGGGCGATCACCTGTACTTTTCCTGTTAGCCTCCTGTCAAATGCTGTCACTTTGGAGGTCCTTTCCTTTTTCTCCTGACAGGAGTCCCAGGAACTTCACTTGGATGTGAATACTCTTACTCTTGGGTCTGCCTTCCATGTTGTTAAGTTTCTATGTGTTATCCTATTCCTAGTTTTTGTGTCTGAGGGAACCCTTAACCCCAACTTGTGTGTAGTGTCATAGATTAGATTGAGACACTTAAGCCAATGCTAACAAGTTGTTAACGTTGTTGCACTACGCTAAATTGCTTGGAAAGCTTTAAAAACTAGGTGCACAGAGCCCCATTCCTATTAACTCTTTAGAGATGTACAGAATGAATTGATTTTAAAATTTGTTAACCTATGTGTCTGTATCTGTATTAATACCTCCCATTTATTTCATAACAATTTCTTTTCAGTTTCTTCCTGCTGGTTCTCTTTGATAATGGGAAGCATTCCTTCCTTAAGCTCTTCTCCTTTATTTCTTATAATATAACATTATTGTTTCCTTCCTTCTTTTCTGCTGTTTTCAGATACAGAAATTTGAAAGGATTGTTCAATGGAAACCCACTCATCAATCACCTACATCCTACAGAATTGTTGAAATTTCATGATTGCTGTGTTACTTATCTCTCTGTTTCTGCATCCATCATTGCATCTTATTTTTGATGTATTTTAAAGAAGCATTGCAAGCATCCATACATCTGACCTTGACTGGTTGGTGGTAATGATGATTTTGACATGCATATGCACACATTGTACAAATCCCCATCAGTACATAGCCTCCTCACTCCAGAAAGGTCCTGAAAAACATTTTCCATTAATCCCTGCTCTCACCCCATTGGCTACCACTCTCCAAGATGTTTAAATACTGTAGATTATATTTGCCGCTTTTACAATTTTGTGTAAGTGAAATTGCATATTATCTACTCTTGTGGAAGATTCTTCTGTGTGGTTGCATGTCCATTTGGTCCTTTTTGTTGCTGAGTAATATTTCATTCTATGAATAGATGAGTAGATTACAGTTCATTCTCCCAGTAGCTGTTATGATAAGGTTCATATGAATTTTTTTCCCCAGTACTAGGGATTGAACCCAACGTGCCCTTGTGCATGCAAGGCAAGCATTCTACCACTGAGCTATGTCCTTAGACCTGAATATTATAAAAGTCTTTTTGTGCTTTGTTTCTATTTCTCTTGTAAAAAATACCTAAATGTGGAATCATAAGGTTGTTCAGTGTTAAAAGCAATGGCTGAAAGTTTGTCCAAGGTAATATGATTTTATATCCTAACAGTGTTTCATTATGAAGCCCAGGCTGTCCTTGAAGTTGTGCTCCTTCTACCTTCTTCACCTTGTTGGAGTGCTGGGATTACGGGCATGTACTACTATATTGGGCTTTTACTAGTCCTTTTTGAAGTAAGGCTTGTGATAGGAGTAAGAGTGTTGTTCATTATTTTACCTTACAGTATGATTGATAGCTGCCTGTTTTTTTCTAGATCCCTCCCCATACACGTTAGGTTCCCTTTTCCTGTTTTGCTGAAAGCAGAGATTATGTGTGGATTTCGAATTTTGCCAAGT